CCTAGAGAAAGCTATATCAGCTAATGAATCATAATCATTGGCCTCAGAAGGAATTCAAACCCTTATTAATTGGGTTTCCAAATTGAAAATTTAGGGCCCCCCAAAAAGTTAGCATTATTCAGGAACCATTTTTCAAACATGGGGTCTGGAATAATTTTGGAAAATTTAGCATTATAGAGGGCCCATTTATTAATCAGCATCCAACATTATATGCCTACATTGACCTCCCAAACCACCCCAAGCATATATGGTATACATGGAGCGTTTGGGTATGGTCAACGCTCGAGAAAAGGAGGCCTTTCACCTCGTAGGGGTAGGGTCCGTAGGGCGGTTGCTTTTTGAGTTGTTAAACTGGATAAAGGTCGACAGGCTGTGCCAGTAGCTTTTGGCTGGGCCAGTCTAATGTGGAGGGTTGTTCATTGGGGAGGTGACAAATTATTATAGTTAGGCCTCATTGTGTGGGAGATGGATGGTGAGGATGATTGCGCGACATTCTCGGAAGAAGACGCAGACCAGAGCGAGTGTGTCATTCCGACGCTGATGGCCTTAGCAGCAGCAAGAGCAGAAGATCCACTCCTTTTACCTGGCAGTTGTTGGGCAATTGAATGTTTGGTGGCATGCAAAGGCTGAAGCAGCCAGCCCTAGCCTGTTGGCTTATGTGAACGAAAGAAGCATACAAAGCCAACTGAGTTGCCCAGGTTTCGATCCATGGGCGTGTGCTTCTCCCTTGAGGTGGGATTGAGGATTGGTCCCCCTTCAGCCTGCACGGCCTCCTGGGCAGCCGTGTTCACTGTGTTCCATCCCTGGTTTTAGGGTGATGTGTGATCCCTAGGCTTCCAATCACCATTAAATAAATAGGCTGAATCCCGAACCAACTCAGGATTTTGCACTACAAACACCAGGTCGTTCCCATTTCTTTAATGGTCTTGGAAGTCTAGGGTGTTCCCCAACTGGGTCAACCATGCAAACCCCGCACCACCTGGACACGAGTTCTGCTCTTGACCGCCCTTCGATCCACATCCTTCGTGTGCGGATCGAGACCAAGACCACTCGAGGCCAAGACTGACGCCACCTTGGAGGAGGTGGCGGATCGAGTGATCGAGGGAGAACGGTGGCCGAGCGAGGAGTCCACCGTGTCGGGGGGGGCAGAGGGAGAACGATCGGAACCATCCCACGGAAACATCGGTTCTTCTTCACATGAATGGTTGTGTGGATGGCGCCCCCGCTTTTGCGTAAAGGAAAGCAGTCTTCCTTACTCGGGACCATGCTAATTATCCACTTCCATGTGATGTGTTTGTCAGGAGTATAGTTAGATTTATAGACTTGCAAAGCGGGGTGAAGCTCTACTCGCTACAGGTCCAGTCTGTCCTAATTAGGTCCAACCCTGGTCCTGAAAACCGCATTGAGTAGTGCTTTTGCATGAACAACTGCAGTTAAATGAGGTCTTTGACCTGTAGGGAATGGTTTTGGAAGGCTATGTCATGATTGGGTTGCTCTTGTATTCATAAGTTTCAATTAGAGGTCGAGTTAGAGGACCGACAATACTTACGCCCGGGCCCCCCCCAGGCACCTCCCCCAAGCAGCAGATGCGCCCCAAATCCTGGTTTTGTGGATCGGTTGTGAAACTTCCTGGCAAACAGTTGTATATACCAGCACCCGACTCTACAGGTCGCCACCCGCCACTTTTAAGCCTCCAAAAGCCACCAGCAGAGACCTGTAGAGTCGGGTGCTGGTACTTCTTTCATACTTGTTTGTCCTTCCTTCTTGGGCAAAGCGACACGAAATGCACCAAATCGATGTGACCCGCTTTCGGAGGCAGCCAAACGCCTCAAGAGCTTGCGCGCCTGATCGAGGGAAAAGAACCATGGGCGAAGACGATTCGATCTTCCCCGAACACTCGGGGACCTCATTAGATCTCAGGGGACTGGCATGTTTGCCTAGATTGGGGTTCTTGAACTGTTGATTTGGGGTCAATGTAGATAGGTACGTTGACGGTTGATGATGCGATAGATGCACTCTTTTGGGAGATGTTAGGATACTCAACATTGGTGTTTGTATTCTAATGCATTCTAATCCCAGACACTCCATGTATGCCATATATGCCTACATTGGGGTGGTTTGAGGGGTCAATGGGGCGGCATATATGGCAGTCCCATGGAGTGTCTGGGAATTGTACATCAGTTACACACGGACGTTTGGGCCAAGGCCGCGCGGGGAATGATCAGATCGCAAGTCGTCGTCGGGAGTAACCAACTACAAGTATATCCCAATCAAAAGATGAGCTCATCAGATAGCGTGTAGCACCACAACTGTACTATTCCCTGATCCACATACCCTTTGATGTATGGGCGTACCTAACCTTCTCAGAAGGTGGCAGTGGATCCCTGGGGTGGTCCATATTGAACATGATGGCGCTTGCTCAACAAACTGACCATGAAGGACCACAGGCACCGGACCATGATGCCGCCATATGCCGCCCGATGCCCTACCAATACAGGTTGAACAGCCAGCCCTTCTTTGCCTAGTCCGTAATTATGTGTATTCCATACGTACCACTGCAGGGTCCTATAAGGTCTTCGTCAACCTCTCAACAGGGGTCTCTTGCTAATAGCATTTATGGACCTGACGACTGTGTGTTGTGTGGGGTGTTTCGGCCTTTGCTCTCCTGAGTGAGGTACGTTTGGTGCTAACCCTACCTCCTAGAACCCGTATGACCTCGTTTGAATAGGAAAAGACCTCCAAAACAGGGGTCACTGAGGCTCTAGGTCCTCCAGACTGATCCCCTTTAAGGATGGTTTTCGTGAGCTGGTGAGATCATTCAGGAATTTGGTGGGAACAGTTGCCCTAATCATGGCGCGTGCAAATCAAGTGAGGAAAACATGGTAACATGATCATGACCTGGATTTAGTTGTTCCAGCTTTCACTTGAAACAGACACCACCAGGTTTGCCCATTCAGAAATGCATGTTGCAGAGGTCCTCAGAAATCAGAAGCTCAAAAGTTGCGAAGAACGCAGAGCATGAAGACCTTAGAGAGAATGCCCCAGAGTGCAAGCAGGGCACAGCGATGCCCGATCCCGGATCTGCCAGGGCGGTGACATCCCCCAAATTCCAAAGATCAACGGACCTCCCTGCGGGTCTTGATTTCGGTGGCCATGTCCCAGCCCGGACCAACGACTGAGCAACAGATGAAGGACCAGGGGAAAGACCAAGACTTGGCCTTTGTGAGGCCCGAAAGGCCCCTCAATTTGTTGCATATGTTTTGTAGTCTAGCGCAGAGATGCACAGATGTGATATGCTATAAATTATAAATCTATACGTGACATCAATGCAGCCTGGCCTTGAATCACCATGCCTGCATCACACCGAAGATCCATCGCCACCGCGTTCCCGACTGTGCGACCGTTTCCCCGTCCCGCCATGGCCTGGAACAGCGACGCGGGGATGGGATGGGAGGAGCTCCCGGCTCGGGAGTCGCATCCGGGAGTCGCCACACCCTGCTGGGTGGCGCAGACAGAAGCCTTTGACCCGTCCATGTCTCCGGTATGGAGATGCGCCGGGAGACCCCGGAAACTCGGAGAAGTAGCTGGCATGGGGTTACAAACTCCTCAACTAATTGACTCAATCACCATCAATCTGTCCCAAATTTGAATTCAGTGACCCAAACTTGGGATTCTTTCAGCTCTCTAAGTCACTGAAACTATGGGGTGATTCGAACATACCCTTGTTCCAGTCACTCGCCGTCTTTCCCATCCAATCGCCGCTCTCCTCGCGCAGCGCCCGGCCCGCACGGCGTAGCAGGAGGCGGCGATCGACGCCACGGCCGAAGCGGAGTTTGAGGCGAAGCGGAGTTTGGGTCCAACAGAGTCCAACCAGTCTCCCTTTGCAGCCGGTCGTGACCAGTGCAACAAGACTCTCCCTTGCAGCCAGTGCAGCCAGTGGTGAGTCCAGCAGTCTATAGATGGTGACCAGTGGTTTGCCATCCCGGCCACAGCAGGAATCCAATTGAGCCACGTTTTCTTTTGCATGATTAGGTTTATACACCCTAGGGCTCCAACCATCTCCTCAGAAGGTGGTTAGACCCCCAAAACACACCCCAACCACCGAACCTCAGGAGGTGGTTGGAGCCCTAGGGACAAAAAGGGAACTGTTGAGAAGTTGTGGAGGCTGTTCTGCTTGGGGCGTAGGCGTCGTGTAAGCATTGTGCGTAGGTGGGTGTTGAAAAACTTGCGTAGGCAGTCTTGCGTAGGCACACTTTTGATGAAAGCATGAGTTTTCTATAGTTTTCTTGTTCAGACTTCTTTAAAAGTTGTTCAAGGGTCTTGGGGAAACATAATGTTGGCTTGTAGTTGTTTAACTTGACACCTACTTGCAAATTCCAGTGGGGAACACAAGGAAAATGAACTGTAATGGCATGGCTACAGTGGATTTTTGAAGTTTGTTTGTCGAAGCTATGGGGGCACATGGGTTTTTGAGGTCAAAAGCTTGATCGTGCTTGGTCTGGCACACCGACTCCGAATTGAGGAGTTTATACATAGCCTTTAGTCACTCCTGGTGGGTATCGGAGGTTTCTAAACCTCCGGGTCAGTGGATCGAGGTTACGACGACCACCCACCCACCGCGGAGGCCAAAGCCTTGTCCAAGGGTTTAAGCGGCGTGGTGCTGGTGGAGGGTATCAAGCTGCCGGTTCCAAGGCGCAGAACGGATGTCGGGCGGGCAGCATTCATTGCGATGTGGGAGGATGGGAGGCTCCATGAGGCTCCGAAACCGAGCTTCTTCCAGGGTATGGAGGAACAGGAGATTTAGGACGTCCTAGATTGGACGTCCAATTCCAGTTCCATGCATCTCCAAGTGATTTAAATTCCTAGCATGGTGTGAATCTGTAGCAATCTGTAGCATATTGTAGCCTTCTTATGTTCTGCCTTGGGGGTCATGTGTCAATTTCTCGAATTGGCTAAATCCCCTTCTAAGTGGAACCCCCCGGTTCCTTAAGCAAATCCAATGCATTTCGGTGGGATCCAGATGGAACATGGGATCCAGATGGACCATGATGGAACATGCGCCTATATGCACCGATCCGGCCCTGCAGGTGTGCCCTGAATACAGGTCCACATGACTTTTTCCAGCTCACCTTGTGGCTGCTTGTCTATGCGAACCAACATGGGAAAGCATCCGTTACATAGGTGACCACCGATCGTCCTGGACCATGACCATGGATTCATCTATCACAGGATAACAATTGAGGCGTTGCCAAGTCATCATCTCCACCTCCAAGTGCCTCAGTTTCCACAGCTTCCGTCACAGGCTGGCGCTTTGCTTGCGCAGGGCCCTCACCAGTGCTTGCACCGCTTCGTTGGGCGTTTCGTCCAGTACCAGTGGCCGGCGCCGCTCCACGCTGAGCAGAAGCAGCCGGTCTTCACAAGAATCCTCCTCCGGACAGGCACGGAGGGACCGGTGTGATTTCCAGCACACCGCCGAGCAATATATGTTGCATGATGTTGCGTGTTGTCCTAGCCCAGCAGTGGCCAAGCAGTGGACGCGTTGTGATGTTTCTATTGTTCCTTTTGGGTGGCAACACTCCTAGAATTTTAGACATGATCCTTCAAGAACCATTGATCATCTTTGAACATCAATATGATCTATTTGATTCTACCGTATATGTTTAATGCAAATAACTTATAATATCATTTGGCATGAACAGAACATGAAGAACTCCATTAGATGCACCAGGAGCGGATTGAGAAACAAGAGTTTCCCCCCATCACGCTGGTCTGAAGCTCTTTGAGCCATCAGCCCCTTGCAGACCGGCAGGCGGTCCATGTGCGCGTGCGGCCCGGTGGCGGGTTTCTTGGGCCAACGGTGGCGGGGTGCGTGTGTGTGCACACAAAGGATATCAAAGGTAATCGGGGAGACGTCCAGTGGAGCAGGCCGGGGAGTGGAGCAGGCCTGCGCTCCACTGTAGAAACGCTCCACTTGCAGTGTCCCCGAGGATATCACTGGAGACGTCCAGTCACGTAATTACCTGCGTCGTGACTTTCATGACCTACTTGGTCTTGGCTAGCAGTTAGAAAAAGACTCCGTCCATTGCATCCGTTTGCTGTCAAGGGCTGATGAGTTCTGCAGCCATGGCACTCGTCGGTCGAGTCCTTTTAGATCTTGGCGGTCAGACCTGGGTGGGCTGTGGTGTTCGGTCGCCGTGTGACTGCGGCTTTCACTTTCCCGGACACATATATGCCGATCAATTGACCCCCCTGGCACCACCCCAAGGTAGATAAAGTCATGCATGTTTCGCGTGTGGGTTTTGTACGCGTCATGTCCCTTCGTGGCTTCGCCCGCAGGGCGACAGGGGCGACATGTCCCCTGGCCCTGCCGGAGTGACGCAGCGGACGGAGTGGTTCGAAACGTCGTTTCTTGAGACCTGTCGTTTCGTTCGACGTCGCTGGTGAGCACCGGGGTTTTCCGGAACAGGCCATGCTTCTTGGGTGGTTGGTGGTCCCCGAAAATGGGGGTCACTCAGGCTCTAGGCAGGCTTAGAGTAGTAGCCAGCGGGCGAAGTCACCGGTCTTTTTGGATTCTTTGACACCGGTTCGGTGTGCCGCGGCCTTTCATCGTTTTTCTACATGCCATCATTGGGACACCGGTCCATGCATGACTTTACCTAGCTTGGGGTGGTGCCAGGAAAGGTCAATTGATCGGCATATATGACATAAGAGTGTTTGGGTAATTGGCACCCCGGTCCGGGCCTGCTCGTGGTGGTTGAGCAGCGAGCTTGGAGGGCAGACTTGTCACAGGAGATAAGCAGACTTAACCAAACCTGCGCGCAGGGATGCGTCCCGAGACTCTGGCAGAGCACCCGG